CGGAGCGGCCGGGGGCCCGGGGGAAGGAGAGGGCCCTTGTTGCCCTCCCGCGCCGGCGCATCTGGTGGCATCAGAGCACGGCGTGCAATCTTTGAGCGAGCACTCGATACGTGTGAAAAGCTAAAAACATTGCCTTCTCCACCCCGCCCGCCATCTCTTCAATTTGTTGTTGTTTGGAAGGGAAGGCAAAAGTTTTGGAAGTTACAGAACTCTGTTTTGCTAGGAGTGTTAGTTAATGCCTCTCGGCGCGTTCAGCGCTGGCTTCGCAAGCGGCCTGCGATAAACCTGGGCTTGAGGCTATATGGAATTAAATAAAAAAGGGAATCCTAAGCTTTTGTGTTAGATAAATTGCTGTTCTGTCCCCCAAGAATTTCTTGCCCTGAACTTTTGTAGGTTGTTTTGAAAACTATTTATTTTAGTGCCTGTATGGCGAAGTTAAACACCATGGTTTTATAAATTGTGCCTTTAATGGAGGGATATTATCTACAAAGAGTAGAAACAAAGTTTTCTTGAAATTGCTTCTCATGGAGAGAATACGATAATAGTTGTTAGTAAGAAAACAATACCAATTTATTGTGTCGTTTGGTTTTTTTAAAGCCACCGTTATTGGTGGACAGCATACTGCTATCATGGCAGCGTGAGGCCTGTAGGCCTTTGCCAAAACTTGGGTGGTTCCTGTGGAACGGGTAAATGGTGTTCGAGAGAAAAGCGGTGAGGTATTTAGACTTAAATAAAGAGGTGGTTTTGAGAAATATGCTTTGCACAAGATTTTATTCACAGTGGTTAGTTAAAGAGCTTCATTACGTGTTGGCATTACATAGCCAAAATAATTTGGATGCAAATGAATTTTTATAAGAAATCAGAAGTATTTCTATGCTGTGAACACCTGTTTTATGCAGCTAATACCACTGTCTTGGTTGTGCTGAATAAAAGCAGGGGAAAATTGATGGGACGGGGCTGGATGGAGAGGGGAAAAGTTTTTTTCAGCAGGGCTTCAGAGTTGCTCAGGATTATTTTTCTTCATTGGCTTATGGACTAAAAAGTAAAAAGCCCTTTGTCAGTAACTAATGTTCATTCTATTCAGATTTTGGTGACGAGGTGAGTGTCCGTAGATTACCTGCTGATTTTACAACAAAGCTCTTCGTTTTTCCCATTGAAATTGAAACAAATAAAGCGGTTATTTTAAGGTTGGCTTTTAGGAACCAAAGGCTCCTAACTAACCGAGAACTTAACTTAGTTCCCTTTACTGGGCACTTGCTGTGACCTTGTTTATCGCAGGCAGGGTACAGTTATACTTGTTTGTAATTGTTTTAAAATTGGGCTAGGTATCCTTAATCTGTGCAGTCTGCTGGTGGTTTTATCTACATGAATCAACTATCACCATTACTAAAAATCAGCTACATGTAGTTTTGGCTTTTAAGATAATAAAATGGCCTGAATTAAAGTTTACAAAGAACTACAGCACAATGACTTGATAAAACCAAATAGTGAGGATGGAAAAAATATGCAAATGTAATAACTGCTTTTCAGTGTTCTGTTGGCCTTGGTTCTGGGACAGCAGTAAATTTATGTAAAATTTTTCTTCTTTATTGGCACCCTACTTAAGGGAAAACTTTTGTTGTTAAGTTTTAATTAACTGGGAGGATGGAAAAGCTAACAAGGAAAATACTTCGGGTCATTATATAGTGCAGGAATAACAAATATGGGTAAAATGCCTTGTAAGTGGGTGTAGGGAAATCACATCTGACCATTGTATCTAAAATATGTGAAAACATGTTGCATCTTTGTACTGAGAAACTAGTCCTCAAAAACTCAGTATCTCTGGTTTTCCTGTGTTCAAAGAAAGAGGAAGATTAATGTTTTCACTATATGAAACAATGAACCCTTAATTTCCCCTTCAAGTCCACGTAAATGGTAAGCAAATGCTGTGGGATCTCTTCAGAGGCGTTACAGGTGCAGTTTTGTTTTGCAAGAAAGTTGAGCTCTTCCAGATCTTTTGTGTTTTGTATAACCAGTAGTTGGTAGCATAGGTGTGTAGCATTACCACTGTGGAGTGCAGTGATAGATACCTTTTCTGTGATACCACATGGTGTGGGTCATGATAATTCTGCTCGTTGCAGTTGTGCATTGAAGTTCACGGTCACAAAAGATGAAGTAGATGCAGCAATGACAGTGGAGGCCTGGGAAGCAGAGGGTGATGATTTGTGAGGAAGTGGAGCAAGACTAGGATCACCCATCTTGGTGCGGTGGGGAAATGATGTCAGCTGAGGAGGTGCAGGTACAGAGGTGAAGGTGACCTGCTCCAGTTGTGACTGGCACCAAAAGAGATGGTGGCATCTTGTTTTATGCAGGGCCTCTTCACCACCTGCTGGCTCAGGAAGAAGCAGTGTGCACTGCCACCCAGCACCTCTTGCAATGCTCTCCTCGCAGACAGGAGGTTCTGACCCTCCAGAGGCTCTTAGGAATGAAAATAAATGTACCAAATATGCTGTCAAAAAACAAAACAAAACAAACCCAAAAACCAAAGCATCAATGTAATATGTTCAGTGTTTCATCTTCAGTTACTTCTAGAGCTGTGTTGCACTGTGAATATATTTTAAACAGGCCGTGTGTGTTAAATTTAGTTGTTCTTATTAAAAGTGGTAAAAAGATGGCCAAATACCATGATGGGAATTCACTCTGTTAGTGGCCACAGTTTTGTGTAGTGAAATTAGGAGTTTGTAAATTCTGTAATACCTCCCAGATTTAACAAAGGAGGGAAGTCATTTTAGGAATTCTTTGGCTCATCCTGTGTGGTCAGGTCAGGTAAACCTGTGTCTTCAGTTAAATTCGGTTCTCAGGGAAGACGACGGGGCCATTGTTGACATTATTAAATCCTGCTGTGTATGCGAGGCCACAAAAATGCCTTTTCAAAATGATCCCTTTTATTTCCTCCTGCCTCCTTGTTTCTCCCTGTGAGAAACTGTCTGTTGCACTTTATCCAAACCACGCTGGAAGGAAACAATAGTTCTATTGAATTGTAAAGTAAGCACAAGGAACTCTGAAATTTTTAATCCAATAGCAAAGTGTGCCCTTTCCCTGAAATAGTACTTACTGTGCATGGAGTCAAAGTAAGAAGGTTTGTTTTGTACGCAAGTCTTCTCTAGAGATGTGCAAGGAAGGTTATTCCATAAGTTTTATTTCAGAATTTGAGGCATAATTTGTAATGGCTGTTTCCCTGTAAGTTAGAATTTGCCATGAAATCAGAGGAGCACTGCCTTACTCATAATCTGTTTTTTCTGGACTTTGAAGCTACACCAGGTGATGCACCTTCTCATTCTTGAATGAGCAATACTGGATTGCTGTAGATTATCTTTTGCAGTTTCTAATAAGGGATAAATCCCTATAGAAACAATTCTTAAAGAAAGGCAATTTAAAAAAATGCTATAGCTAAGACCACCTGAATTTTTTAGGTATATTCTTTGTAATATAGTTCAGAAACTATTTTAATAATTCCTTTGATTGGGGATGATTGAGGTAGTGAGCAACTTGATTTTTTTTTTTTTTTTGCAAGATACAGGTAGAAATGTAGAACACATCAGCTGTGAGTATTGCTACTAGAAAGTCATGCTTTCAGTTATTTATACTTGTACAAGTTGACATTTCTTATGTTCAGTACTTGAGTAGGAGTATATTTGAAAACTTCAGTTATTTTAGGAAATTAAATCAGGCAGATAATGTGTTTAGCTTGTAGTAACAATTTAACTGGTTTAATTTTGAAACTTTTGCTCTTCCAAGCTTTGTAGCATGAGTTTGGACATCAGGATCTGCTTTTCTTCCCTCCGTTTAAAAATTAATTAAAAATCAGACAAGTGGCATCTCTCTGGAAAATGAGTTTTCATACACTCTTTCAAACCTTGACAGTGAGTCAAATTGATTCTGTAGTGTGCATAAAGGGAAGGAAGCTCATGGGAGCAGAGGGGTTTACAGGCTCTAGAACATCCTTCCCTTTGGAACATGGTTTGAACCCCAGTCTTGTAAATCTTGCTGTTTCTGTGCTGTCACCCCATAGCTGGGACGTTCCTGGCCAAAATATGGGTTCACCTCCCAAGTCCACATATGTGGCCACTGTTTTTTATTACTGTATTTAGTTACTGTAAAGTGGTTCTGCTCATCTAAAAGCAACTCAGCAACCACACTTGACTTGTCTGAAAGGCAGTTCGTGTGGTTTTAAAATCATAATTCCTATATGTATGGTATATACAGGGGCAGCTTACTGATTGTTTCCTCATGTGCAGTGTGCCTTTTGTAGAAATCAGATAGGCTACATGGGTGGTTTTTGTTGTTTCCCCCCTTAGTTTTTCTTCTGATTTTATCAGTATTTGGTATGAAGCTTACAAAAAGTCCAAGCAGCCTTGTAGCTTTATTGCAAAAAGTTTGCTCTTCTGTGGCTAGTTGGTGACAGTTCCTTATTTCAAATTATTGGTAAACTGTTAGTGAAGCTATTTGGGTAAGACATTGCAGAAATGGTAGCAGCTGACCGCTGTGATCAGTTAGGTGCTTGCAACTTAATTTCTCCGGGGAATGTTTTTGCTGCACTATTTGTGTAAATTTTGATGGTAGATGGAATAACAGCTAGGTTGGTCTGACATAAAGATGTCTTCTACACAAGATAAATATGAACAAATTAAATTATTCAATTCTAAATGCATGGTAAAAAAAAAAGTTGTACTTTATCTTGGGTTTGGGTGTCTTAAAAAGACTAGCTTGTGGTGCTGTTTGTATTGATAATACCAAATTGTAAAATAGAGATACCATCTTTCTTAAGAGAAGGTGAAGATACTTGCTTACCTTCATCTTTGCTTTCAAGCAGAGGTTTTGCACAGCTCTGCATAGGCCTTCCGTCAGGCTGTGTGCTTTGCTACCTCTTCTGCCTTCTCTCCTGTGCAAAGAGGCAGTCTTACTTGCTCTTCCCTTTCTTGGGCTTCACCATGTTCTGCTCTGCCTGGAAGGACACTTCTCCCCTTAAATATCTTCTCTGAAAGCTCTTCTGACAAACCCTCTATAGCCTACTTTGCAAAGGCTCCTTGATGTTTTGTTTGCTCCATAGCAAAGGACTCTTGGCAGGTCTGTCATGTTTGATCACAGGAGCCTCACTGAGGGGCTGCTGACGGTGATACCTGTTAATCCTTGAACACCTCATGACTCAAAGAGCAGGCTTTCTTCAAGGTGATAGATTTTGTCCGTAAGTTGCATTGTGTAAATGTTCTAAGCACAAGGGATGCCACCAGCTGATACACCGGGGCTTGCTCCTGTGCTGGCATCTCACTGTGCCCTTCAAACCCTGGACACCCATCTTGTTCTTGAGATACTATCTCAAAGGTATTGCCTGTCTCTCTTGTTTAATTCTGTCCCACAGCAATTTTCTGCAACTGTTAATTTCTCCAAACTGTTGTATAATCTTGGTCAGTCAGACCCACAGTATGCCAGCCTTTTCATGAGCTGTCTTGAAGATATTTTCAGTAGGCTGTGCAACTGTATTGTTGTTGTACCAAAGAAAACAGTCTTTGCCATTTGGAAACCTGAACTGTTCTTTCACACTTAAAAAAATAACAAAGTAAAATAAAACCCACCACAGATTCAATAACCACATCAAACTGTGTACAGAATACTCCTATAAATATTTTCTAAAAACCGTGATCATCACTGGAAATAGTAACTTGCAAGATTCAGTGTATTGTTAATACCTGCAAATTAACACAACTCCACTGAAAAAAACTAGCAGCTTTCCAAAATGCACCAGGAATGCGGTATACAAAGGTGCTGTCAGACATGCACTGTATTTTTCTCTGAGCGTACTATTACAATTGTTCTTAGTGATGTAAGGAGGATGATTCTAAAAGGTTCTTCTTGCATAATAATAGGTGCAGTCCAGATATCATGTATGAATTTATTTTAACACAGAAAGAAAGCCACACCAGTCATACCTAACCTAGAACTATACAGAACATCCTTAGGTACTTACAGTGCACTCTGGAAGAAGATTTTATCTTGAAATAAATACTTGCAGAACTGACTGTTCGCAGGGTTGATACCAGCCCTTCAACCAGCCCAAAACAAATTCCTTGTGGGCCAGGATTCCCCAAATGGAAATGGGCTTTACCTAACCAACAAATGTAAAATTTATCAGTACATAACATAACTTTCTACCATAACAGAACAACTGAAGAGCCTAATCCCCGTGCGTGCATGCCATAGAATACAGTAGACTTCATTCATCACTCAAATGCCCTTGTGGAAATTCAGCATTAAGGAAAAAAATGCACTGTATATTAGAATAAAATTGCACAGATAACTGGTAAAGGACAGGCATTCTAGGTTACTGGTAGAAGGGTACTTCTCACAATTCCAAACCTTGCTTTCTGACTTGCCAGCCCTGGTCTTCAAATGAAACCAGTAAAATGCTTAAAAGATTCTGGTTGGTAACATTCATAACCTTAATGAATAGTAAAAACTAGGTACTGTGTCCTGTTGCTGTGTTACCATGCACTGCCAAGCATCCTCATTACCTCATTTTTCTGTTCTTCATCACTGATCAGCTTGAATGATCTTAATTCATCTGAGGTCAAATCTTTATGCATTTGTGTTTAAAATAGCCCTTCCACCAAGAGGCTTGCAAGCAATTTTTTTGGCTTTGTACTTTTCCACATACTGTACTGGGTGAGAAGGATGCTCCAGTAAGGACCAGTGAAATCAGATGCTTTGCTCTCTTGGTGTTGTTCTTGCATGTAGAAAATTGGTTTATGACTCTTTGGAGTCACTTAGTCCTTGTTCTGAAAAGAGGTTTCTGCTAGCTCTGCCTGGTTACTGCTTGTAAACGTCCAGGTTTATCAGTTGGTGACCAATTCCTTGCCCTTGAATACATCTACTGTGAAATGAAGTTGCAGATCTGCTGTCAAGAAGCAAGCCCACGTTAGCCTTTACAGAGAGCACGTTGATCTCAATAGCGAGAAAGGCATCACTTTGTGCAGCGATCTGGATTTCTCTGGACATAGACAAGCAAAATGTTTGCCTAACATTTCCAAGAGGACTGCTCAGCTGCTGCGGGAGCCGGCTTGCCTTGTCTTTGCTTCTGTTGCCACTTTGAGTAGCCCTGGTTTTATAAAATTTCCATTGATCTGCCTCACATTTTCTTTATTTTCATCTCATAGCCTACAAAACAGAGTTACTCTAAAAAATAAATACTCTTGTCTGACGTAGTTTTCTGGGTAGCAGAGTAAGCTATGTGAAACTAATACTCTGAAGTTTGCTCTGACCTTTTTTCTGTCAGTGACAACCTTCAGCGTCGCTGAAATGTCTTCATATCTGGTTGCTGAACACCCCATACTCCTCCCTTGAGTCAGTTATCGCAATGACAGCTCTTCTTTGAATGGGGAGATACAATGAGTGTTTGCCGATTCCTTTTTCTTCAAGAGTTTAAAACAAAAAGGAAAAAAGAGCAACAGCCTGGCATCTTGTGCTGTTTTCTAGTTGTTCTGCTGGTATAATCAAAGTGAGAGTTTCAATTAGGGAACCTTATTTTGCATGGGATTTATGACTGAATTAATATAGGCAGGTATATTGCTTAAGGGGAAAATTAAATGTGACGTGGGACATCTGGATTATGTAAGTGTTCATCGTCAGGACTGCATTGTTCCAATATATTATCAAAACTTTGTCTAATGTTTAAGTAGTTTAGTGGTTTTCAGTTTGATTTATGTATTTGCTTTTAGTTCAGTTAAATCCGTTGGAAGTAATTACAGTAAAACCTATGCTAGTTCAAATGAAGAAGAGCTGAAGGAACCCAGGAAGGCTGTACCTCTAGACAGAGACGTACAGGATTTTTAGCCATACAGTTCTCTTCCTTCAGTGAATGTTCATATATGCAGTTGTCCAGTTCCATCCATAACTGAGGAATTGTCTGGACTAGCGGAGACTGAGCTGCCATGCAGCACTGTGCTTAAAAGCAATGCTTTTGACCATCTCCAGCTGCCTCATAGACCAGCTTTTCCTGACAGGAGATGACCTGGCTTTTGCTGGATTTTTCCTGCTGCTTCACAACTTGAATACACCAATGCAGCCAGCCTGTTGGTAAGGTCACTCGTTCTTAGGAAGCTTTAGCTAGTAAATAATACACTTATGAGATGTGTTTATGGCATGGATCACGTAAGTGTGCAGCAGGAAGTCTCTCCCTTTCTACTCTGGCTTCTTACAGTTTCTATGGCTTCAAGTTAAAGATCCGAGTCTTTTATCTTTAACATGCTTGCTAGCCTGAATGCAACACAACGGAAAGGTCACAAACAAATATTGAATAAGAACCGCAGGCGGCAGGTGGGACACAATGGCATAAAGATGAAGCTTGTTTGGGCAGTGTGTGGAGCTCTCCCAGGACTGCTCTGGGGCACTGCAGTGAAGGTGCAGAGAAGTGTTCGCTTCAGGTGGTGGCAGGTATGCGTTTTTTGTACCTTGAATTCTTCATAAATGCACAGCTGCATTTACACTTCAAGTGCAAACTGAAACAAAGCTTTCCACCTGTGTGTGCAGGTGGTAGGAGGCATCAAACCATCTGTGACAGATGTTAGAAATACTGCTTACAGCAGTGTGCTGCTGGGAGGCTCTCTGCTCTCTTCATCATAGAAGCGATACAAGCAGCTCAGTAGAATGGAACAAAAACTCTGGCAACTTCAGGATTTTCAGTGCCATGTCTTTTTGCCTTTAAAGACATTATCTGCTAGTAGTTTTGTAGCAATCCTATGCATGGTTACTTTAAGTGGGGGGTTGGGTGTTGGAAAATTGCGCTATGCAAATGATACTGTTTGTTGTGGTTCAGTGGTTTTCATATCAAGTTTGTTCAGTTTTCAATTAAGAGGGTTTTTTTCCTAGATCTTGGCCCTCCAAACTTGGCTTGCCTTTTCAGAATCAAGCTGTGTTCTTACAAGAAATTTCTCAAGAAATTTCTTTGCAGATTAAAGTGCAAAAGGCTAAGTCTTGGTCCAGTGTGATTTTTTCGTACTCTGTTATACAGCTTCAAACAGTTACACTGGTTGGTCTGTGGGTGATCTTGCAACTGGAATTCAAGAGCTCTGCTCATCAGCAAACATACTTCTGTTCAAACTTGTGCTATTTTTCTTTTTGACCAGCAATAGTAAAGAGTAAAACAAAACAAATGTATATACATTTTGCCAGTCAGGAGTAAATCAAATGGACTTTGTTTGTTCTTCCAAATAAATTTGCATGGTTTAGACAGTTCTCAGATCAGATCTTTATTTCAGTCTATTGCTATCTCAGAAATAGAGAGTTGGAGATTTTATTATGGTAGCAAGCATGAATAAGAAAAAACAAAACAAACAGGAGTGAAGGATTGTGTGAGATACAGAAGACTTGGTTACTGTGAATGCTCTCTAAGGATGAGGTCTGTGAGAGTTAACTTTGTTGGGTGGTGGTGGGGAAGGTTAGACAAAAGAAGCAATTCCAGGACTTCGATTGTATACTGAGGGTTTCCTGATCTTAAAATATGCCTTGCCTAAGTTAATTTACACGGTGTCTTAAAAAATGTCCTGTTCAAAACTGGGCCAATTATTTAATGCTGACACTTGCAAGCTTAATAGAAATTTCAAGTGAAAAAATATTTCATATGTACTATTAATGATCTAGCAAATTTGGAATAATTTTCTTTTCCTTTTTCTTGTTGATTGGCAGCTGCTGTTGGCTTTCTGACAGTTTCCAGTGTCATTACCATGTCAGCCCCTTTCTTTCTGGGTAAAGTTATTGACGTTATTTATACAAATCCGAGTGAAGATTTCACTGACAGCCTGACCAGCCTGTGTGCCTTGCTGAGTGGAATCTTTTTATGTGGTGCTGCTGCTAACGCTACTCGTGTCTACCTCATGCAGACTGCAGGTAAAAACACAAGTAAAAAGTGCTACTGAGGGTCATCTTTTTTCACAGAGTCAGGATATCTAATGATCTGAAATAAATTCTTGGCACTGGCTGAGAGATCCTCTTGGAATCGGTAGCTTTTTTTGCCAGATCAAAGGTAAACTCATGGTGCAAAGATAAGTATGCTGGAATAGTTGTTCGGTTTTATTTACTGTTATGTGACGTCTTAAAGCTCACTATCTTCTGGTGTATTAAAACTCTGTAATGTGAATTGTTCACTGCTGTGTAATCCAGTGATTTTTATATTGTCAATGTCTGTGTAGTCTTGTGTGCCATGCTTGACTGACTTCTGTTTCTGACAGGACAAAGAATTGTGAAACGTTTGAGAACAACCATGTTCTCCTCTATTCTGAAGCAAGAAACCGCTTTCTTTGACAAGACCAGAACAGGAGAGCTGATAAACCGCTTATCTTCAGATACAGCCCTCTTGGGGCGTTCAGTGACTGAAAACCTTTCAGATGGGCTCAGGGCAGGAGCACAGGCGTCCGTGGGGGTTGGAATGATGGTACGGTGGTCTCTCCCCTGCTTTTCACTTCCTGTAGTTTCAAATTTGTTTCAGTTCTGTTAGGTAATGTGTCAATGTGATTCAGTCCAGAAACTGTTGTGTGTTCTTGGATACAAGTGTATTTCACTGGTTATCCATATGCTGCATTGCAGTCGATGATGTGCCCATAGCCGCTTCACATTTACTCAAAAGCCAAAATATGGAGAATGCAGGTCTGAAATGAACGCCTGTTGCTGCCTGAATTTATCATGCAAAGTATAGTAGGCAAATAGCTTAACTCTATTATTACTGAAGATATTAAAATCACTGATAACGTTCCAATGGTTGTAAGTAAAATAGGGTGTGAAGGGCATGATGTAAAGCCATTGAAGTTGGTTGGTTCTGGTTAAGGCCTAGGGGAGCAAAGACAGCACTGAATATCAAATTGCTGCTGAAGATTTTTACAAGGGTTAGTCTTCCTGCTTTAGTCTGTCAATAAAGAACATATTTAGGTAGGAAGTATGTTAATGAAGGCTTCAGTGCAGTGCATCATTAATATTTCTTGCTGGTCAGTTGGTTTATATAAAAATCTGACTTCTCTTGATGTTTTTTGTGGCATTAATTTTTTTATGCTTATCTGAGAAAAGATACGTTGGTGGCAATTACCTTAAATGAAAGTGTGATAACTTCTGCTGTCTACCTGGAGTTAAAATGGATAGCAAAAAGTGTCCTCATAAAAATAAGCTTCCATGATCAATGTTATTAGAAACTGTTAAGAGTTTCCACTATGAAGCTTTAAAGCTTTAATACTTTGTCATTGATAAGAATCATGGCTTTCTGTATTTATCTAAGCAAAGAGAGTGTAAAGATTTCATCTTACCATAGATTAACCGGAATAACTTTTTATAAGGTGTTTGCTCAAAAATGCTGCCATGATACAGTGTTAAAAGGTGAACGATAAAAAAGGTTGCCTGGAAAGAAGATATTATTATGAAATAATTACGAAGCCTGTTGATTAAGTCGATTTTGAATTTTTCTGGAGATTTTTGTGTTTTCAATACAGAAAGCAAGATGAAATTAAAACACATCAGATCTAACTTAAGTAAATCTTATGAAAGAACCTATTTAGGAGCTTTGATGATGATTGTTACAAGTGATAAGGTTTTGCAACAGTAAATTAAGTCCATTATGTCAGGTTATGAGCATTTGTGGGTGCTAGGGAGCACTGGTGACTCCATCTGTTCCTCGGTTACCCAGAAGTAGTGTACGGTATTTCTCTACTCAAACTTTCTGTATTACACCATCTATTTAAAAGTTGTGAAAGTGCTTTAGAAACTATATAATAGCTTATGTCTTTCAGCATCCCCAAGAGATTTCCTGGTAGGCCTCTTTATTGGCAGGTTAAGATACTTGGCTAAGACCACACAGCAAACCAGTGAGAAAATTAGAAATGAAATCCAGACCCCTTTGCTTATAATCCTTTGTTCTGACTGTGGGATACATTCCCTAAATGCTGTGGAGGAATGGATATTTTGCCTGGAAGAAATGAAACATGATAAATGAAAGCACTAAATTACAATCCTACTAGTTTTAGAAAACTCTAGCAAGGGAAGTTGCACTTCAGTATTCCAGTGGGTTATTTTTAATCTGAACACTAATCCCTGACACATACCTTTTTCTTCTAGTTTTTTGTGTCACCCAGCCTCGCTGCATTTGTTCTGAGTGTTGTGCCACCCTTGGCTGTCCTGGCTGTGATTTATGGAAGATATTTGCGAAAACTCACTAAAATGACCCAAGATTCTCTTGCAGAAGCAACACAGGTAACCTTTCAACAGATACTTTCTAGTTAACTTCAGAGTTGCTCTAGTGTGTTTAGGTTAATATCTCTGAAGTACAGATCTTCTGAAGATAATTGTACTGTTCGTTGCCTTAAGCCATGCTGAGCCTGTAGATTTGCACCTGAACAGTATGAAAGGTGTTTCAGTAACACTTAACAGATCTGAAAAACCGATGCTTTGTGAAGAGCTGTCCATAACAATATAACCTGGAGGTACCAGGTCTTGAGAACTTGGAAATGTAGGAAAGGGTGAGGAGGTTAGGCTTTAGCTGTGTGAGAGCATAAAAAGATCAGCCAATGAGGTCCAGTGTAATTTGGTACCTAGGTCTGAAAAACACTTTTCTTGGACTATGGTTATGAGTCTGAAGCCATCAGAAACATCCTAGATGGATCCGTCTTTTAAGAAAACTTTGCTAGCAAGTCCTTCTGTGGAATGAATCCTTGATGTTTGACCTAATTGTCAGCTCTTTAATGTTTATGAGCCTTGACATTTTTTAAAGTTTTCTGGGCATCTCAGCACATACCTAGCTACTTGGGAGGAAAGTAGAGGAAGCCATTGTTTCTAAAGAGGCTGTTGTAGAAGGGCCTTCATTGTGTTTACTGACTGCACTGAAGTATTGCAAAGCGGTAGCAGAGTACTAGTAGTGACAGTGACCTTTTTCTCACAGGCTGAGGGTGGGGAAACATCATTAAAATGCATAGAAATATAATTAGGAAAGACCTAGTTAAAATAGCCACAGATGTCAACTGTTTTGAACTCGGATGTCCTATGTAGGACTTCTGCAAATTGACTGTGCAGAAGGAACATTAGCCCTCTTCTGTTTATCTTCCCAATCATGTGTTGAGGGGAAGCTCGTGCCTTTGTAAACCAGCTGTAGGACTTCACATGAACAAGCAATTTTAGTGTTCCATTCAAATATTCAGGTTGAATCGGGGATGGAAGAAGGAGAATTACATTTTTAGATCATACTTTTACTCACAAAAGAGGGTCTTGTTTTTTGTAAGACCATCACAGTATCTTTTAACAACTTAGTCTAATAGGTTACAATTGAGGTAATTTTAGAACTAATACTTTGTTGTTTAAAAGATAAAATATTGAGTTGAAATGAAACATTAGTAGTTGAGCTAAATTAATTCCCAATGTTGCTTTGATCAAATGAGTACAATTGTTTCAGGAAATAACTGCAGGCTTTCTTGCATGATTTAGTGTGGAATAGAATATTCTTTATTTTTCCCCTTCCCACGTTGTTATTGCAATTTATTGTGAATAATTTTCTTATGTGTGTTGTTCACATCAAATTACAGGGTTCTTTTAACACTACTTTTATATTTTTCTTTCCCTGCTAACACTAAAGTCAAGGCAATCTTGAAGTTCTTTTTAAACTGCCTGGGCATGCAGTTTACTTTTAACTTAATAGAATTAAAAAAAAAAAGGGGCGGGAGGTGGGGGAAGGAGGGCATGAGAAATTTTCCAGTGGTATTCAAAGGAATGTATTTAGAGATTAGTGTAGTGATACCGGTTTAACTTTCAAATGTTCTGTAATATGAACATTCCAAATTGTGTGTCTCTATTTGTTCTGTTCTTTGCTTTAATGTAGTTAGCTGAAGAGCGTATTGGCAACATAAGAACTGTTCGAGCTTTTGGGCAAGAAGTGGTGGAAATGGAGAAGTATACAAATAAAGTTGATTATGTGCTACAGCTGGCTAAAAAAGAGGCACTAGCTCGGGCAGGCTTCTTCGGAGCAGTAAGTGTATTTTGATAAAGTTATGTTATGCCAAGTGTCAATCATTTTAAAATTCATGAGGATGCTTACAATCTGCAAATAAATTATTTGAGTGAAAATTGAACCTACATGAAACTGTGGGAAGACTGGACTTAATCAGCCTAAATTGCTGTGAAGCTGCACCTCGAGGTACAATGGTATGACAAAGCCAGTTTAAGTCTCTATTTCTGCCCCACACCCCATAGCTTGGTACTATTTATCTGAGCCCATACCTCCTATTCAGGGAACTAAACTAGTGGAAACCTTCCCCACCCTTAGCGTTTGACAGATTTGGCTTCCTGATGAGATAAGCATCAATGCAAAGGAAGCTGGGGAGTGCACAGGTGGGGGAGGGAGAGTGGGATTGCATTTTTCCATAACAGCTTTCACTGAATTTGCTTAATAGTATTCTAAAACTGCAATATAACTGCAGACTATCAACTCTTCTCCTTTAATGATGGTTGAGAATAATGTTTGGTGTTCCTTTCTGTCTTGGGGAATGAGGTTAAAAAACCAACCAAACAAAAAAAACCCAAACAAAACAAAAAAGAGTTGCTTGCTTTTTGAACACTTGTTGGGTAGCACAGTACAGTGCCACTGGATGTCTGGCTGGCTGTTGGCTTGGTTTAGAATTGGTTTTGTCCAAATTTAACTCAGTCCTCTCAAAATCTAGATACCCATAGGATGGGAAGTTTTTATTAGAAGGAAAATTCTGAAACAACATTTTGGAGGATGAAGTTTAAGATGTATGTGACAAAATCTGCCTTTCCTCTTTTTTTTTTTTTTTTTTCTCCTTAGACTGGCCTTTCTGGAAACTTAATTGTCCTCTCAGTCTTATACAAAGGAGGATTACTAATGGGCAGTGCCTACATGACAGTTGGTGAACTCTCATCTTTCCTAATGTATGCTTTCTGGGTTGGAATAAGCATTGGAGGTATGGAATGAGACGTTAGATTTTCTTCACTTCAACGCATTACAGTCAGTATGAGAGCAGGAGGGAAGAAGCTCTTAAAATATCTGGCTTTCTTAAAAGTCTCTTCCAAATGATCTTCCCAAGAAATCATACATAATTTTTTTCCAAAGAGTTAATGAAAATAAGAATTTAGAACTAAATATAAGCCTTCCGTTTTCCCAAAGGAATACAGAGGTTATTTTTTTTCAGTGTGTGTATGTGACAGATACGTATTACTTTAATTTTCTTTGGTTCTAAATTAAGATACTTGGTATACTGTGTAAAGAAATAATACTGGTATTATATTTTTTACAAAATATGTGGGTCTGTGTTAAACATACTGTCTTAGAAAGGCATGTAGAATTTAGCTGTAATTCAGTATAGAGTGTCTTGAGCTGGAAGAGTAAACAAAGTGCCAGCAGAACACTGCGCTCTGCTAACCTTTTGTTTTTCCATATTGACTGACTCTTCCTTGAAGCTCAGACTCCATAATCTACTGGCCCAGAAACAAACTGCTCATCTTTTTGACAGAGCAGTCTTCACTACTACATACAGGCAAAAATGAAGATAAGGTACTTTGAAGTTTGACAAGTGATTGGAAGGGTTCTTCTTTAAAATGAGTCTGTTGCTTCTGATAGACCAGCAGGGCAATGTAGCTTGTCTATACTCTTTTCTAAGACTAAGCCTGGTGTCGTGGGAAGCACAAAGATACGCCTGAGGGCAAAACTCACAAAACCTGCTTCCTTGAGTATAAAAATTCCAATGGCACCCGTTCCAACTAATAAAACCTTTTAATCTCTGCTTAAATCATTCAGGATTGGTCAACGCATACATAGCACTTTGAAAACATGGGACAAATTAATATTAAATAAATGAAAAATAAAGTTAGAAACACTGATAAAATGTCATTGAATTAACTTTATTTGTGATAAGACCATCTTTTGAAATTGTACTTAAGATTATTGAAGACTATAGTTCTGCACAGAGCTCATTCTTATGGGGACTCTGAAGTAAAGGTGTCGTGCCACAAGAGGCCTGCCTGCCTTGATGCCTACAAACCGTATAAATCTTCAAAGTGCTAAGTCTGCTCGGTATTTGTCATCATCAATATATGTAGGAGTTTGTACAAGGAACTGTGAAGTTCACTGCATAATTTGGGACTTTGCCTCTTTTTGTTGTAAGTTTGCTGTGTTTTCTACCTAATACCGAAGACAGGTTATGAAAACTAAAAACGTTTTCTAATTAGTATTTGCTGTCCATATTGGGGATTGGTTTTCATGAGTGGTTGCGAGTTTGCAAACCTCAGTGTCTCGAGGCTCATGCCTTCTCCCCTGTGCCCTGCTCTAGGATGTAGATGCTTTGGCTCTTTCTTCCAAGCAGACAGCTTCTCACCATGGCTACCGCCTTGTGTTGCAAGCTTTCGGATAGTCCTCAACGGCAGCATGATGAAACGCCCTGTCTACACGTACAGACTCATGACCTTGGGCTGGGCTTGTTGCTCTGCAAGAATAAACCAGTAAACCTATTTTAATATACCTTGGGTTTTCTGCCCTCCTGAAATCACACTTAAGACTATTCACATTTTAAAGTGGAAGTGGTTTATTCTGTTGGAATTCAGAGATTTTGAAACTGGTTACTCTATTTTGAAAGACACACAAAAAATGATGAAATAAGACATTTTATGTTTATGTCTTATTCCATTTTTGGTTCTCGGTTGGTTTCTGTGTTTATTTCAGCTGGAAAGCCTTTCAGCCACGCTAGCTCCAAGATGTTTTACACAGCTGCTAAGAGCTGGGCCCAAGTACTATACACGAGCCTTGTCCTTAGCTTTTGCTTTCTCCAGTAATGTTTGAAGCACGCTGACTCGGGAGTCGTATTTCGTTACATTGTCCATTCTCCACAGAGCTTCTCAAACCTCCATTCAGCCTTAGGTTTTGTGCCCTCCCTCTCCTGTGGCTGACTCAGCCACGCTCTCCTGTAGTAGTATAACCCTGTCTGACAAAGAAGGGCGTTCAGAGTGCTCCGTTCTACTGAATGATTCTGAAAATCAGGTGGTTGCATGCAAGGCTATGTCTCTAAAGCTGGATGCTGTTCTTCCTGACAGATGAATGAAAAAGAGTTGCTTTGCTTTTGAGTATATGCAAGCTTATGTATATTAACTTTTTCTAGTTTTTTCTTCAGAATGATTCGTTTTACAGATATAAATAAGAATGGTCAATAAGGGTTATTGCTAGGTCTGAAGTGAGACTAGATAAGATTTAAATCAACATGTCTGATAGTAAAAGATCCCCTACACATCTGATGCTTCAATGCTGGTGATGAAAAGTAGAATGCAAATTTAATGTACCCTATATCTTCCATTCCATATGGATGCATAATACTGATCTGCTTTTTTGTTTAGGTCTAAGTTCCTTTTATTCTGAACTAATGAAAGGACTAGGTGCTGGTGGACGTCTATGGGAACTTATTGAAAGGAAGCCCCAACTTCCATTTAATGGTGGGTCCTTGGTTTGTTATTATTCACAGGTTGATTTTTCTCTTACTGGTCGTCAGTACTTCAGAAAGAGGTGTGTAATACTTAAGGGTAGTACCAACTTACATTCTTTTGAAAGAAAATAGACACGTTGGTAATTCTTCTGAAACAGATAATGATTTCCTTTAATCAGAAGTTTCTGAGAATTTGGTGTCTTTTTTTCTCCTTGAATTAATTCAGAATATTCAATAATATTTAAATACAGTAAATAAAAACATATTGCCAGCAACACTTTATTTACAGCTGTATTGTTCGGAAGCTAGTTAACGCCCTCCAGTGTTGAGTATATTTTGTATAAACAGCATTTGCCTGTCTCCATCAAAGTAGTTCAGTGAGCTTCTTGTAGAAGATATTTTCTGTATAAATTGCTGTTTTATTTAGTCAGCTGCATCCCTCTAAGCAAAAGTCATACATGAGTTTTCACCAGCTCTGTATGTTAAGAAATGCAATACAGCAGAGTCCAGGTGAGCTGTCAACACTGTAGTTTCCCTCTAAGTTTTGCATGGTCCTTTAATTTAGAAACTTTTTAAAGACTGCTGTAAGAGTTAGAAAAGGATATGCAACAGACCTAATGAGTTTTTGCGTGAGGCTTTAGGGAAAAGAGTTGCAACTTTTGAGTTGGTTGATGCAGAGGGGTTCTTTTGAAATGCTGTGCTTCAAATTTCTGTTCTGCTTTTGTCTCCCCGCATGGGAATTCCTCGAGTTCTGAATCTTAGGGACACCAAATCACCATCTGGCCTCTGTCTCATTTCCTTTCACAGCTGCAAGCCTGTCCGTAGGATGCTTTTCAGTGTGCTTTTTTCAGTGTACTTTATATAGCTAGTGAAAAGTAACAATGTTGTCTCCAAGGGATGGAGGCAGACTTAGAATAGCAGCCATTTGTTGAAAAGGTAACCACTAACTGGCTAATGAAGGGATAGCTACACATGCTTGTCCTCAGCAATGAAGCTGGCTTAAACTTCCTGCCATGGCTGACTATTCAGTGCCGCACTGCAGTTTGCTGTGCCCTTCACAGACCTAGTGCAACTGTTGATTTCATCATCGTTTGGTTGTGATTTTTTTTTTTTTTTTTTTTTTTTATATCTGGATTATTTCAGTGGTCTTCATCTTTACAGTGACCCCAGCGTAGAGTAAGCAGTAGTACTGGGGCTGAAGTTGTCTTTCCCACTGAAGGTATTGAATTGTTCAATCATGCCAATAGGGACACCCAGAAAACAATCTTTATTTTATAGACTGAACACAAATTGGACAAAATTTCAGACATCCATGTAGCATAGGCTTAACAGAAAGCTTCTTTTAGGTTACCTTTCAGTATAAGCTAAATACGTAGGAAAGGATATAAACCTTTGTCTCAAAAAACAATTATAGTTCATTTCTGGCTCATCAGATAATAAAACCAAGAGACTATTTCTCTACTGTCCAAGCTCACCTGAAACGTCTACTCTCTTGGCTACTTAGGTTTTATTTTCATGGAACCCCAGCTGTTATTGATGACAACAGCTATCTCAGGAACAAATTATGTCTTTTCTTCCTCTATCTAGAATCCAAACAAGAAACAAGCACAACACTGTATGTAGCTTTTAGATATTTTTAGAGTAATATATGGAGGAAGGACTTGTGGTACCAGACTTCCTGTATTGCAGTAAATTTCAGTGGTTCAGGCCATGGAATAGACTGTGCAATAACTGGAACTGAGAATAAAGATAAGTGATTATTTGTTACTTTGATAATAGTAAGGATTATACTGCTAGCACAGGATTTAGCAAATACAGTTCTTTTTCCAAAGCAAGGTTTACAGACCACTGTGCTTTTACCTAATAAATGAATTACAATGCATACGTCCATGTATTAAAGTCAAGGAAGGAGTCTGAAATTGTATACTCTTGCCTTTGCAATTTCTATGCTACTACCATTAAACAAAGCCTGAGGAGAGGAGGGAATCTGAGAAAAAGAAAAGCGAAATAAATTATTTGCTGTAGGAACAGCAGGAGTAGTGAAATCTTGATTGCTACTGATGGGTGTGTGTGCTTCCTATCCACAGTTCCCTGTTTAACCAAACAGGGGCATGTGCTACCACGTGCTGTGGCTAGTTGGGGGTTACTTGTGTGCTGCATCTGGAAAGAATTAAGGGGTTTGAATCACATGGCTTTAGCCTGAACAAATACTACTTGGGTGTTGCCCTGGTGCTGCCAATTTTCATAAAACTGGTAGGAACTTCGTCAGCAAGACTGTCTTTTGGGAATGCAGCACCACAGTCTGCTTAGTTTGCTTTGTATGGATATGCTTAGCTAGGATTCAACAGGGCTTAAGAAATTACGTTTCTTTGTTTTACCTATTTATAAGCTTTTTCTAGTACTGATAGTCTTTTAAGATAATTGTTTAAATCAAATGATGTGTTCCAGAAAGTTGGTTTTATTTAACTTTGGCAATCATTCATTTGTGATGGTTTGCTACTGCATTTCACAAACTGAGATTTTAGTTTTAGTGAACTGTTGCCTAAGACTTATGCCTCTGATTGGTCTTTGAATACACTGTGGTCTTGAATTTCTTAAATATACTTTCCACTTAAAAAAAAAAATTCTAAAAAATGGCCATTAATGCAACAAACCTAGCAGCAGCTTTATTCCGGTGACAGCCTCTGCTTAAAAGCTACCCAGTTAACAGGTAGTGGAGAGGGAACTGCTCTTGTTCAAAGAGGAGGGTGTTTCAGGTGACTTTTGTGGCTCAGTGAAAGGGCAGTAGGTGATTTGCAGTGTTTACCTTTTTGCATCTGTTCTATGGCAAAGGGGACTTTGGCCTTCAACAATGCCACTTCATTTCATTGCTCCTAATTGACAAAACTTAAATTGCTTATAATATGTTTAAAAAATCAAATAATTGTACTAGAAGTGAACATTGTTAGGTATTAGCAAGATGCAAATTCTCCCTCTTGCTGTAGGTAGCCTACAGGTTCACTGTTGGTGAGCAACCTGAAATTGCATTCAGGAACAAGTGGTGTATCGCACTGATTCACTCATGGCTGAGGTGTAACCCCTGTGGTCCTGGCTCGTGGCTTGCAATTATCCCTACATGTAACATGGCGATAGATACTTCTATTGGGTGCCTGTAAAGCAAGTTCTAAGAGGGCTGAGCTGATTTTTGTTTCTGTTCACGTTTCTGTATTTTATTCTTTGTCATACAGAGGGAATCACGTTAGGCAAAGACACATTCAGAGGTGCTTTGGAATTCAAGGATGTTGAGTTTGCATATCCAACACGTCCAGAAACATCCATTTTCAAAGATTTTAGCCTTTCCATTCCAGCTGGCTCTGTTATGGCTCTGGTTGGCCCAAGTGGTACAGGGAAATCGACTATTGTATCCCTTCTGCTGAGGCTGTATGATCCTATCTCAGGTATGTTTTGTGTGTTGCTCTCATTTGTGACAATTGATTCTTTGCATCTCGGATACACCTTACAAGCAGTCAGGGTTCCTGCACTTGAGGTCCTAATGTGACTATTCCACTGATGCACCGTGCTTTCCTCTGGGGTGTATGGTTACCTTGTGGTGGTGCCTGCGTAACTTCATATTTCTGATCCATCAGTATGCGATTCCCCAGTGGCTGTTGTTCTCAACGGTTCTTTTTCATCTCTTTTCAGTACTTGTCAGTACACACTTGACTTTACTGTTTCTTAATTCAAGGTACTATCACTGTTGATGGCTTTGATATCCGTCAGTTAAATCCACTGTGGTTCAGGACAAAGATTGGAACAGTGAGTCAGGTAAGGACGAAAAAAAAATTCTAAGTGAATGGAATAATTTTGTATGATCAACTTAGCTGTGCCTCACTTTTTTCTTCTTTTTAAAGCTATATAATCTTCCTTCTCAGTGAAATCCCTCCATCTCAGCATAACTGCTGTTGTGCATGCTTTCTTCTAAATATTAGAGCTAGTCCCATTATTCTGTAGTCTGTTTTTACATAACCATAGAGATTCGGAGTGTTAGCTTAGAAGAAAAGTGTGCATGTGGAGACTGGAAAGTACATTGTTGCAAATTGTGTAGGTATGACCATCTTGATGTTTGCTATGATTTGGTGAAGAAAGTAAGACAAAGCTTAACATTTAATGACCTTTTGTATTAATGGAAGTTACACAATCATATTTTACATAGCCATTTGAAAACTGACCTTCTGTGCTCTGTGTTATTTCCAGGCAAACATGATTCCATTAGGAAAGCATGAAAATCCAGCACTGTTGGCACTTACTTTTGTAGTCCCCCCTTCCTAGCAACCCCCAAACTCTGGAAGTACAAAGGGATGTTCAGTGGTCTCTTAAAAATAAACTATTTGACCAATTAAAATATGTATGTTCCTTCCATCTTCCCCCCAGATGCTTCGCAGTGCAAATAACTGTTAGGTTGATGTTCTGGTTAAAAGCATAAGGGTAACTGGGTATATGTTGCATTTCAAAACATCTACTTTATGTAATAATGCCACCAAAAGCTTTTGTGCAAAACTTATTTTCCTGTGGGCACATTAGCATTTTTCTTTTTGAATGTATGTATTCCACCTGAGCTACCAGTAGGAGATTCATGCTGCTATTGATACTATAGCATGTCTCTATTTTATAAACAGAGCAGACTTACCTTGTTTCAGACATTTTCCCATTTTACATCACTTGTCCTGTCTGCCAGTCCTCTTCTCTTTTTTAAGCTTTAATATAAATTAAATGCACAAAATGCCATGAAATCTGTGTAGAGATCAAGAGAAGAGTCATTGTTGCTAAGGGTGATAGTAGTAAAGTACAAAGGGAGGTTTTCTGATGTTTGGATGAATAGCTCTTTCTGAACTCTTCCTCAAATACTAGGAATTGAGGATTATGTTTTGTTAGTTAAAAAAACAACTTATTTTTTAATTGGTTTTCAATTCCTATTTTGGTGTTAGGTTGTTTTATTTCTTTGTTTTTAATTCAATTAACTCTAGCTTACATATTCTTTTGTATGGATATAATAGAAATTAATGCTGGGCCTTGTAAGTGGGATTTATGTTGTTTTAGTATATTATATTAGTTATGGTTTTGAATTTATCAGGAACCGATTCTGTTCTCCTGTTCTATCGCTGAAAATATTGCCTATGGTGCAGAGGATCCTTCTACTGTGACTGCAGAGGAGATTCAGAAAGTTGCTGAAATAGCTAATGCTGCTAGTTTTATCAGAGATTTTCCAAAAGGCTTTGACACTGTAGTTGGAGAAAAAGGCATTTTGCTTTCAGGTACATCTTTATATTGCTTATTTTAAAAATCTTGATGCTATAGAATGAAGTAAAAATTCTATTATTTTTTGCTACCGTTTTTTTTTCTCCAAGTCATAGACTGCCATAAGTATTAAAAAATCCCTCCTTCACCTCCATTCCCCCCCTAGAGTACGTGTGCCTAATTCTGCTCAGCCCAGGCATTCAGTTAAAATTACTTCACATCTGTTTTTCTGTTTTAATTTACTGAGCTTTTTTCCCCCAGGTGGACAGAAGCAACGAATTGCAATTGCTCGAGCTCTGCTCAAGGTAAGCTGGCACCCAAATAGCTATTTACCTACTTTGTGGGGAGGTGGGAAGGGTTAAAAAGGAGGAGGTCTTTCAATGAGAGAGGTGGAAAAATATTTTTATTTTACTTAAAAAGAAAATTGTATCTTTTACTTTAATGAGAAAGTTTGAAAGGGCTGAGTGGTTTAAGTAAAGACAATTTACTTATGTAAGTGCTTCTTCCCATCTTTCAGTCATGTTTTTTGATAGTTCTTGCCAAGACTGATTGTGTAAAGGTCAAGGATGAAGGAAGAGTTTAAGAATGTGGTGCTAGTAAACTCATACATGACACTTCCATCTCTGTGTTCAGATCTCTGTCACTCATGAGTTGATTTTTCTGGGCTGTAGCTTACTAGCACTGTAGATGCCCTGTCTTGGCTTTGACGGGAGCTGGTCTGGATTTGGGACAAGATACTATTTCAGGCACAATGTTGTGTCTTCTTTTTTTTTTTTTTTTTTTTTTTTAAGGGTTGGCATGGTCTAGCTTTAGGGCAGGCTCTGTGCTGCACAAATCTGAGAAGGCTTCTGAGGATCAGAAGGACAGGGACAGCCACGGGGCCTCACAGAGGGGCAGTTTGGAGCTGATGCTCAGCTGGAAATTTGTAGCCTTGCTGAACCCAACTTACATTCATGTTAAGCTGCGTGGTGGTCTCTAGCATCCTAGCATGCCCAGTTCTGCCAGATTACTGGGAATTTTTCATTATACCAGTTCTCTTTCACCATGGATACTGAAAAGCTGATTGCATTTCATGTCAAGTGCAGTTCATGGGGAGTAGAGACTTTATTTGGGGTGGGGGGAAGTTGTGAAAAATAAACAAGTAGTTGATATGTGTGTGTTTGGGGGTGCAGTGGAGTCCCTTCTCTTCCAGATAAAGTCTAAAGCTTTTACTGTCAACTTAATCAAAGAAGTTTGGGTTATGGGCTGTAATTCAGAAAAGGCTTCTTAGGGATTTGAGTGCTGGCAATTTTTTTATTATTTATTTAATTGAGAAGAGTTCTTAAATGCTAGTTCTTAAGTACTATGTATTTCATCTGGGGGTCAAAAACTGCTTGTTGGTAGGTTTTTGCAGGGTTTTTTTGTTACTGGACAGTTATATATAGCAGACTGACTGCAAGCAGAGGGTAGCTCAGCCTCTGTGAAACACCCATATAAGAGCAGTAAATACAGTGCTGCCAAGTATACATTAAAAATCATTTCCCACCTTTAGTTTGTATCTTTCAAACAGTGATCTGGTAATAGCGTTCTTTTACTTTAGTTTGCAAAATTTGAAGATGGAAGAGTGTTGTTTCTGTTTTGTCCTCTTAGCATTTGGACTTCTTAAGTAATGCTTTGAATGACACTCAGTTCTTTTGATGAAATAAGTACCCTTACTTGGAGTTTTAAGCTATACGAATCCTGTTTTTTATTGATATAAATATTCAGATCTTGTCTAATTGTTATTATAACCAATTTTACTTTGTTCTTCAGAACCCTAAAATTCTTCTGTTAGATGAAGCAACAAGGTAAGAGAGAAAATAAACAGCAACTTAGAAATTATCTGTAAAATTCAGATATGTGAGGTCTTCTCTCTTCTTTCTCTGCATGCCCTTGCACAAATTATCTAGCCCCTTATTCTTCTCTTCCCACAAAAAGAATGTGCTTTCTAGAATGTGTGAACTGGTTAGGAGACCTGTGAAAAAAGCTGTTTATGCAAAGTGGAAAGGATAGCTGGTACACTGTGTTGTAATTTTTCATGGAGTTAAATTTGTAATACGTTAACTTGATTTTGAAACTTGAAACTTTTGAACTACTTAAAGCTTTTTTGTATCTTCAGTTTAAATAAAGATGTTGGTATTAAAGAGAGGTGATTATACTGCAGTATAACTTTTTTTTTCCACTGAATTAATTTAGTGTTATTTCTCCATGAATATTCTTGCATATGAGAATATGTAATGCCTGTAACTTGGATGTGTGCACTAAGCATATTCACGAAACTTTCCTGGAGTTCCATTGGTTCATCTTCACCAACAATAGCAAGGGTTTGCAGTTTTAGCATAACAAGCCTAATGCATACAAACCTAATTTGTCTTAAAATAACAAATATCCTCCTCTCTCCCCTTCCTGCTTCCCATTTCTTAATAGTGCTTTGGATGCTGAAAATGAATATCTAGTGCAAGAAGCTCTGGACCGACTGATGGAAGGGAGGACAGTCTTAATTATTGCTCATCGTCTGTCTACTATTCAGAATGCTGATTTTGTTGCAGTTCTTGGCCAGGGTAAAATTCTTGAATGTGGAAAACATGAGGAATTACTTGCAAATCCAAATGGACTTTTCAGGAAACTAATGCAGAAACAAGCTTTTCTTCAGAATAGTGATACTTTTGCATTAGATTTACAATCTGGAGAAAAGGATGTATTAAAAGAAAAGGTATGAGAGAATGTATGAATAATGGAAGCTTACAAACTACAAAGAATATAACTTATGTTTCAGCTATGTAAAGTAAATGTTCTATTTTTCCAAAATGTACAAAATACTCTTTTTGAAGCTTAAATGTGTTTAAACTTTTTATTGAAAGCTTTTTAATAATTATTGCAACTTTTTAAAATGTCTATCACATTGAGATAATTTGAGTGTATAGTGTTTTCTGCTTTGTCTTGAGACCATTTAGAATCTTGTTTGCTGTAATGTACTGTATGATGATGTGCTGCATTCTCAAGTAAGTTCAGTATTTTAAGGGTAATTAAATGACAAATCTTACCATTTTCATATCATTGTCTCTTCCCTTTTCAAGGATGCTTTCTGTGCTTGTCAGTAGTCTTAAAATGCTGGAATTCAAAAATGCATGAAATTAGCGTACTCTGAAAGTTCTGTCTGACTTCCATGGCACTGTTCTTTCAGTTACGGTTTGTTCTGAAATATGAAAGTTGATTATGATCACCATCTACAGTTACTGTAGAGAATTACATATGAGAACACATTTTAGAGGGTATGGAAGCATGAGTTGGAGGGAAGTTCTTTAAAAAACGAACAACAAAAAAGCAAGCAAACAAAAAACCTGACTTTACATAAGGACAAAGGAAGTGCATTAGTATATTAAGTCAGCATAGGAAAATCTAAAATTTGCATGCATTTTCTTCCCTTCTCTACTTCCCCAGTTCTTTAGTTTCACTTAATTTCCAAGATGACGTCCAAAAGAACATGCTCATATGTGTAAGTTCTTGTCCTTTTTTAAGGCACAGCTAAATTCTTTATTGTTACTTAAAATTTCATTCATAGAATTTCTAGGTTTTGCCTAACTACCTTATTAGGGACAACTAGTAAACTACCTTCTCAAGGACAACTAATAAAATAATAGCATTACATTAATTTGAATAATGCAGGAGGGTACATTTTGCAGTAAAGAGTAGGCCTCACGTTTCTAATTTAAGAATCTCTTCCAATAGAATCTCTCTAGACTTTCTGAAGATGCAAAACCCCACAAGGTAATTTTAAAAAGCTAAAAACTTTCCAGGTCACATCAAAATTCATCTATGCTAGGGAAATTTGTTGCTAGAAAACTTTATTGGCAATAGGTGAGATACATAGCACTGGGCAAGCTTAAAATGTTTCTCTTGTGTGCCATTAGTGGCACTTTGTGGAACATAGTGAATATGCTAAAGAGACCCCTGTGCTAAGGAATGAAAATAAAAGTACATCCAGATGTAATTTTATCTTCTGGTATAGTTTTACTAGAAGCAGATATTGTATTAAAGATATGCCAGAAATACCAATGACGTAATGTTTAATGTCAGTGTTGACTACCAATTATTCTCTTTGTAATGTATTTAGAGAGGCTTGAACTGTAATCTTTACTCATGTAATCCCTCCTTATGTGAGATGCAACGAGCCCCTTTATTCATGTGTTTGCACAGGTTACAGGAATTACTTGCAGCTGAACTGAATGAATGTTTTATGTCTTTTGTTCACTAGTTGTTCTGGCAGGTGTTGCAGTCTACAGAAAAGTGTGAAAAGCTATAGAAAAGCTCTAGTCCACAGAAAGGTGAAATGTCTGTCACAACAGGTACACTGGATAACAGACTTTATTCAGGTTAACACCACTCACAATACTTCTTGGAACAAACCACAGACCTCAGCAAGGTGAGAAAACAAAGTTTCTTAAGAATCTGCAAGTAGAAAGCTTTGCTGGACAACTTCAGATTTGTGGTTTACACACGTACAACGTATGTGACGTGTGCACATGGCGTGCTGTATACTAGCAGTGCTAGTCAACACTGGATATGGTTGCATTTTGAACCGTAGGCACCCTAGTAGCTTAATGAGGAAAAAAGTGTGAGAAAAAGGAAAAATGGAAGTATTGCATTCTTTTTGTTACAAGAGGTGAAGACCTTCCTGTCAAAGGTAGAAACTGCTGGTGTATCTCTAACAGTCCTGACAGGCGTCTTTTGCTGAGGAGCACTGTTTCGTGCTGCTGCCTTGTGTAGCGTGGTCCATAGGGCATAAAGGGGCTACGCAATGTAGAAAAGACTTAACGTGAGGGTATCTGTGCATCAGAAAGAAGTATAAACCAAACTTTCTTGCACTCACTGACTGTATTTTCCATCGTTGCCCCCTTCAGGTTTTAGTAATACTGTGTATCTGCTATTTGTTTTGTTTAAGCTGCTGTTTGTAGGAAGAGGTTGGGTTCCATGAGGGACGGAATACCTAACAGCTCGAGCTGCTCACACAGCTGTGCTACTCCTAGTGTATTCCAAAGGCCAAAAGGTTCTCAGGAATGCTTTTGATTGCAGGTAAATACAATTTAAGTCAAATTAAACTTACCCAATGCTTCCTGAAGGAAAGGCCAGAGCTTACTCAGAATCAGTAGAGGTTTCAAAGTGTCCTTGTAGCCCTGGTACAGCACATGATGTAAGACCATCTCTCCCTCGTGCTGCACGCACTAGTGTTCAACTTCAGCCTAAACATAATCTCCTCCATGTGGAAAAGTAGTGAAGATGATTTCCCAGGCATTCAAAGATAAATGTAATTAATTTTACATGCACACATATACCAAATATGTAATATAAACATTTTTCAGTTTCTATCTCTAGTTGTCACATTTTAGTTGATACCTATGGGCATAATTTTGAAGTCTTTTATTAATACTGCCTTTTTCTACCCTCGCCTTGGAGGCCAGAACTATTTCCTTCCTTAACTTTCGCTACCCAGTCATGACTTTTGGGGCTTAAATACTGCATCTGATTGCTTTTAGAACTGCCTTGCTAAATTGAATGTATTAGTTAGGGTTCAGTAGTCTGGGACTTAATGAAAGGTCAGCTCTCAATGTACACTTAATGCCTTTACTGTGTTCCTAATTAGTTTTCTGATTCTTGACAGCATGAATGTTTTCCAGAGAGAAATAAGACACTGAAAATAAAGTGTCTTGAGTAACTTTATTACTTAAACTACTTATTAAACTATTTATTTTAATGCTTAAATAGAGTACTGATCACAACATCATCACTACAGTGAATCACTGGCATCTCTGAAAGACCTAAAGTTCTTTCAACTTGGGTTTCAAGCAGTTAATGCAACTTTTTGCTCTGATGGAGAAAGCCTCTTTCCTGTCAGTATTGGAATCTTTGAAAAGGGAGTGGACTCCAATAAGGGGAGTAATGGAAGAGAATATCCTACCTTTGTGATCTTCACCAGTTCTGTCTTTGCGTTTCCACTGCTCAACATTTTCAGCTGTCTTGAACGGGGACAGTTTGTTCCATGTGCTTGAAGAGTCTTAAACTCATGATGCAATGATCCAATGGATTAATACTCTGATCTATTAGGGAACTCTGTATTCCAATGGGCAAGACATTACATATCTTATGAAGAAGAAAATGGTACTGATCTTCTATACACATCCTTGTTTAAACATCAGTGTAATCCCATAAGGCATATTCAGGTAACCAGTTCATGGGAATTTTGTTTGCTCTGCAGATGATGGAGTTTGCTGCTATCCTTTCAAACTAATTTTCTTTCTAAATAGGTAGGCAGCTATTTGTGGCTAGTCTGCCCAAGCAGTATTTTCTACACTGTTTTTCTATCCATCCATCCATCAGTAAATAAAAAACAGAATTAAAAAGATTATTAATCCCATATATTTTGAAGTTGTGGCTCTAATACTCGAGTCCACTATTTCCATTCTCTTCATTCAAGTTCCCACTAGGTCAGTATTGTCAAAATTGCCAGCTGGACAGTCACCTTTTCATGTGAAAAACAAATACCACACGAGTCCCAGTTCAAGAACTGGTTGTCTCTAACCAGTATCAATATAAAGTATTTCTGTGTCGAAAATGAGATTTAAAGGTGGAGTTGTATCCTCTCTCCTGAAGGTGGAGCTCTTTAACACAGGGCAGGGACAGCAAGAGGAAGCCGAGTAGTTCCCTGAGGAAGCGTAGCAAAGTGTATATAGGATTCAGTCACCAAAACCGACTGCTCACACTGCATCATCTTAAATATTTTAGAAACGAGATGTGAAGGGGGGCTTTCAGTTGTTAAAATAATTTGAATGTCACCGTTCATGGACGTTGGGAAATCATAGAATGTTTTGGGTTGGAAGGGACCCCTAGAGGTCATCTAGTCCAACCCCCCTGGAGTGAGCAGGGACACCTTTAACCAGATCAGGTTGCTCAGAGCCCCATCCAACCTGGTCTTGAATACATCCTTGAATATGTCCTATAAATATGTTCCATTCAAAACAAACTGAGAAGACAAGACTGCAATTTCTAGGGTTCTCCCATAGAAGAGCAAATAATAGTTTCTAAAAGACTGTTAGAATTCCCCTGTGTTTTTTAAATCTCAGAAAATGTTATGCAGGACAATTTATTGCTATAAACCGGACTTTTTAAATGCGGATGACCGCTTGACCTTTACTCAGTTTTTCCCGATTTGCTTGTTTGTGTGTGCATTTTCTGTTTTGGTTTGTTCGCTTTTCTTGATGAAACAACAGTAATGTGATGATTTCCCATCGCTACATGGAGTATAACAGAGAAGGCTATGCAGAAGGATACTACATCAATGTAACAGTATAGTGAAGCTCCCCTAAATGTTCACATTTTGCTTAATAAAATCAAAGCAAAAGGACACAGAGTGAAGTTAAAAGGCGAAGCACTGAAACAGTCGGGTCCCTCACACTTCAACACTGCCAGGCGAAGTATCTCAAGGTTGTCTCCTCTGCATTTCAGGTTCAGTCATATTGGATCACAATCCATGCAGAAAGCTTAACAGCCATAACTCTAGTCAAAGAACATATTTTTGGAAAATGATGGGAAATTTTGGAATATTCCCCTTTTAGTTAATCTTAACTAATTAGCTTCATTGATAACATACATACAACTCAACTTCTTCCCCAAGTAGATGGTACATATGTACTTTCTGAAAGCTTTTTCATACAAATGCAGTTTTTTCTTTAAATGAGAAAATTTAGTTCCCCTTTAAGACTGAATTCTAATTCTACAGTTGTAGTGCATGATTGCTTCTTAACAGAGATGTGAAACATGCAAAGGTTTGCATGGAGTATTTCTCTTTGTAGGTTTTTTATTATTAGCATTTGGGAACAAACACAGGTTACAGCACAGGCTATTTTAAGTATTAGGCAACTCTATTAGCAGACAACACGTCCTTCCAAAAGTGCCAGAAGGTGGTTTGCCACGGTCTTTCCACAGCAGTTTTTTGAGCGTACCCAGCCACCTTTCTCTGCTCGAGTCGGTTAGCGCCAGAACTGCGTGGGCTGAGTGAAAGAGGTTCCCAAACCCAGCCTTATGAATCCCTCTGGGAGCGTCCCGAAGGACCCGGCCTCCTTCAGGAAGGCCCGAGCAAGGTGACCCATGTCTTTGGTTGCCTATGCTGTCCAGCGAGCAGAAGCGGCCGCTCAGGCTCCCGAAATGGCTACTACGCCAGCCACCCTCCGGAGGCCACGACGTGCCCGAGGGCCTGCAGCGCTCCCGTGCTGCTCTCCCCCTCCGCCGAGGAACGTCCCCCTCTGGGGCGGCGGGAGCAGCTCAGGGAGAAGCGGGGCAGCTCTGCGCTAACGCCTGCTGGACCCTCTGACAACTACGATGTATTTGTGAGGGTGGC